TCAGTCTTTTCTATTTAGGAACGGTAGAGCAGGGGTACGTGTGCAGCAACGCACAAGATCTAATACGGCCGGGATGGAAATCGAAACTGACGCTGAGGTGGGAAGTAGGTAAGTTACATAGACCAGATGTCGCACATATTTGTCTGAGAAATGCCGCCGTCACTCCCTTGGACAAGCACTGTACACGGATGAAGAGAAGAGAAAAAAGTGCCATCACAATAAATAAGGAAGGCTGCCATAACTGAGTTAAGCTGATCAAGCTTAGGAAAGGGAACTGAGCTCGGACTGAGAGGACGGAACAAGAAGAGAAAGGGGTCATACGGAATGACACGGGACACAAGATTGTCATACCATACATCCAAAAGTCGGTTAATACTTGAAAGATACAACCGTCAAAGAATGGGAAAAGTAAACATGGAGATGGAAGTGTGAAAATGCCGTGGAACCGGGAGAAAGGCATTACACCTCAATTATGCTCAACGGAGAATTGGAACAAACATTTGTTCCGCCTTCTTGATAGATGCAATGAGCCACTGTCATTTGTTTGGAGACCGATCATTCGTTAGCAACAGTGGCCCAAGCGATGTGCGGGTTACCTCCCGAGGCAAAGTGAGGTAGCACCTCTCTGATCATCAGGCAGGAGAGAAAACTAACGGATCCCACAGTCGTCGATTAAATAGGCCGAACAGGAATGGACGGTAAGAAAGGTGCAAGTAATTAGAAATGGAGGAAACGAAAAAGAAGTGGAGATATGCGGTTGCCAGTGAGCCCCCAGGGTCTTCTGAACCCGATCCCCAGACCGTGAACAGGCGCGGCTGCCTACTTCTTGATAAGCGAACTAGAGGTGGGACGATTCAAATTTAGACTGCAAGCCCCCAGAATCCTCGACGCCGCCTAACGAATTTGATGTCCGATTCTGAGCAGAATCGTTCGTATGGTTCGAGTCCACCGCCGTCAAACTGTGGGTTACGTTCGTGGATGAAACACAACTAGAGTTGCTAGCAGCTGCAGTGCTCGACGTCACAGGCACGGAACATAGAGTAGTCGCAGGCGATACTGACGGCGTGTTCGACTGTACTACACCGCCCGCTAGTGATCGCGACGCAAACAAGGGGGCCACGGCAACGCTTCGAGTGTGAGGAGGTAGTGGTTGAAAGTAACTTGCTGTGGGACTAAGCTGCGCCGGTTTCGATTGGGTCCGCGCATTAAATAAGCTGGCTAGTGTAGCAGCAGAGGCTGAGCCAGATCCACCTTGTGCGCTTACCAACTGTGAACCTGGTTGATGCGAGGCTGTGCTCGAAATGGACACGCCGCCGGTGACTTGATGCCGATTCAACATAGCCTGACTCTGGGAATGCGGAAACGCCTGTTGGTAGTTAACAAGGTGTTGTTGCTGTAAATTCGTTTGTGAATGAGATCCAGTGATATGATGTGATCCACTAGCTGCTCCCATCGGATGTCCGATACCAACAAACGCACTCAAGGTATTCGAACTCACACGAAACGCGGCCGGTGCATCATCCAAGTCCGAGTAAAGAATAGTCATTTGGTGAGTGGACTTCTGTGCCTTGAATGGGTCCCAGAAATAGTACTCTCCTTGCTCTGAATTACTGTCCGTTGTGAAATTCGCACCCATAATCCGAGTAAGCCAGATTTGTTCTTTTTTATGGAACCGCCATTCGCGTTGGTAACTATGAAGGGGAAAATGATTTAAAAAAAGAAATGGCGGGTTACCAGCGGTCAAAGCACGAACCATCACAGTAGCTGTCAAGCGACTACAAGCAAGCTCTTGGAACGTTGTGTAAGCTGAAAGACAGACTTCCAGATGGTTACTGGTAACGAACAACGAAGAGATGTCGTATCTCAAAACATACACCGAGACGCTAAGCACAAAGTTAAACCGGAGTAGAATTTTCGCACACAATATACACTACTCTAAGTAGTCTGCCGTTGCCAAATGCCAGCAGACGCAGAGAGGGTAGAGGGTGGTGCTACAAAATCGCAGTCTTGTCATGCAGCAGACACCACAAAAGTTGTGGGCAATGATTAACATAAGCTCCAACTATCCAGCTGATATTCGATCACAGGGTTAGGACCGCCAAGGGTGCGCCATCCCGAGTGCGGATGAGGCCACGAATCGTGCTTCGACCGAAAGCTTGAGTTGCACGACAAAGACAAAGGACCTCTTGTAATATCCTGTAACTTACCCAATCACAAGTTACGTCTATCACCTGTCTGGACAGATGACTGAAAAGAGTAAGCAATCTAACCACTTGTAAGCAATCGGTTGGTAAACTGAATCAATGGCCCAGAAGCCAAATTGTATGGAATATTGGACCCGTGGGATTTTATCATACAAGTGGAAAGTTACGCTGAAAGACACAATGAATATGCCATGAGGCGGAGGCATAGTCACCAAGTTATATTCGTTGACCCGCTATGTTATGTATGTATTCTTGCAGTTGGTTGAGGAAAACTGGCAAGCAAATCCAGTGCTGGCGCTGGCAAACATACAAGTCTCAATATAAGGTAAGAAGTGGCATCTCATGAAGCAATAGTACAGGCTGTCCATCATCCATCACGAGTGTTAGTTGTATGCAACCATCAGCGTGAAGAAAGGCAGACAAAAGGCACCTTGAGAGAGAGGAATGAGCAGCAGTTGGGAAACGTGGCACTAAAGCGGTGAAATCCCTTTACAATGATAGTGAATTCGGGTCAGTTTAACTAGCGCCTGACTGTTCTTGATAAAAAAGAGCATTCATCCAGATGATGTCTCTATATGGTTGCACTTTATTCGTTGAGCATCTCACACAAAAGTTGACCCTTGAGTTTAATACCAGGCGTAGTTGTCTATGGCGAAATCTAGGGTTTGACCGACTACCGCTACTCGGTAGGAATTCGGCGGACTGAAGTTCATCGGAGTGGCATTTAATTACCAGTATTCGGTTTGATGATGAGGGCCGGAGTGTTTCCAGGGCTAAATTTATCCAGCACAGTTGACAGGGACAGCAATAGTAACTCTCATGCAAGTTGAATAAATAATCGTTTCCTCAGGAAGCTGGCTTTTGTTTGCTTCCTCCCATCCTTTCAATGACAAAGGTCAGGACTAGAATTAAGCTGTTAACCTGGGTGGATCAGGAGGGAAGGATATCCCATTTCAGTGCCTAAGCAAAACCTGTAATGGTTACAAAAAACTGGGGGACATGCAGGGAAATTACGCCATATACACAGGGATTCATTGGTCGCATTCACGCTGGGGAAATCAGCCGTTAGCTTTGTGAAATACTGTCATGACATGAAAATGAGGTAGTGCGGAGCCTATTGAAACCCACATACCAGTTTGTCAGTCTGATGCCTCAGGTGTGACACCACAAACCTGTTTGGATGTTACAGCACGTACGCCAGGCACCGTTTCGACCGACGGGTCAAATCGGGTGTCATCGGATAGTACGGATTCTTGATTAAGGTCAAAGGTGGGAAGGTTGTGGGCAAACAAATCCATCTAAATCCAAAGGCAGCGATGGCTGCTCTGTTCAACGCCTACGTGCATTAGTGTTGCCCAACAAAATGCAGCAGGCTGTGCAGAGCTTTGGGGAGAAACTTCGGTGGCTAAGAGAGCTACTTGAATTAGTTTGTAAACACACAGGACATTCAAATTCAGCGAAGCTTTTCGCGATGTGTAAATCGCAAACATGCGCATGCATACATTAGACGTATTAGCCTTTTGTACTTGCTTTTGAAGTCATCGAAAAATCAACCAATTACAGCAACGCTTTACGCATCCCACCGAGTAACTTTAAAGGACTACTTCTGCTTCTTGCTTTCAAGATTTATTCGACAGAACTACCTGTCAATAAACAGAGGGAGTTGCGACGGGCTCCCTACTAAATGAGGTATGCTGAGCCTATTGAAACCCACATACCAGTTTGTCAGTCTGATGCCTCAGGTGTGACACCACAAACCTGTTTGGATGTTACAGCACGTACGCCAGGCACCGTTTCGACCGACGGGTCAAATCGGGTGTCATCGGATAGTACGGATTCTTGATTAAGGTCAAAGGTGGGAAGGTTGTGGGCAAACAAATCCATCTAAATCCAAAGGCAGCGATGGCTGCTCTGTTCAACGCCTACGTGCATTAGTGTTGCCCAACAAAATGCAGCAGGCTGTGCAGAGCTTTGGGGAGAAACTTCGGTGGCTAAGAGAGCTACTTGAATTAGTTTGTAAACACACAGGACATTCAAATTCAGCGAAGCTTTTCGCGATGTGTAAATCGCAAACATGCGCATGCATACATTAGACGTATTAGCCTTTTGTACTTGCTTTTGAAGTCATCGAAAAATCAACCAATTACAGCAACGCTTTACGCATCCCACCGAGTAACTTTAAAGGACTACTTCTGCTTCTTGCTTTCAAGATTTATTCGACAGAACTACCTGTCAATAAACAGAGGGAGTTGCGACGGGCTCCCTACTCGGATCCTTTATAGGTGATATTTTGACGAACAAGTTCAAAAACGACGCCTTAAAAACCTATCATAAAACAGTTGCCATCTTATAAACGATATGTTGATAATCTCAATAGCTCCGAATCCCACATTATACAACTAGAAGCTCCTTTTAACACTGCCCACGAGATGTTGCGTTTTACTAAGGCGCACGAGTTCAACTGTAACGTCTAGTTCCTCGAAATCGCACTGATCAGAATTCAAGACGGGTCGGTCCAGAAAGGGTTGTCTGGAAAATCTACATGGTCTACCTAGTATACCAATTTCCACAGCATGGTTGGTATGAAGTGTAAAAGGAATCTCTGACCTAAAGAGTAAGTACGATCCGCAAAAAGGACAAACTGGACGCTGAATTATGGGTAATCTGGAGGAATTTGGTGGAAAATGGTTAGGCAGAGTACGTTTGATCTGACATCCAGTGGTAAGAAGGCTTATCTGAAACCACCTATTATTTAACTGCGCCATGTTTTCAGAAAAAGTGACCCTTTGCCTGACCACCTGTCTGGGACGTAAGTTCAGTACAACGCAGCGAATGATAAAATTCAGCAGCGGTCGACTGTTCATAGGAATCTGTGATAGAGTAAAGACGCACAATTCCTTTATGGTCACACAGTCAGTTGTTTACGAATAGTGCGCATTATGTGGGTCGAACGACTCGGGGCTTGTCTCAATCAAGGAGCCCTTATTGATTTTCCGAAGAACTGGAGCAGCCAGGCACGTGACAAGCGCAAACGCTAGTCAGCTGATCAATACAGACCACTGGATCAATCCGGCCGCGTGCTCCATCGTAATCTATCGAGCACGGCAAAATCGGTCAAAGGTTATAAGCCATAGAATGGTCGCAACAGCTGAGGTGGTGACTGTTCGGATAGGTGACTTCTCTCTATGTCAGCAAAAGGGACTTGTGGAACCTATGACTTGGCCCAACTAGCCAAACTTACGCACCATTAAATAGATAACATCCAAGTTTCTACATCAATAGCAATGCACAGTATTCCAACCTATTTTCCTTTATCGCTGTTCTTGTTCGACAGGCTACGATTAAAGACGATCATTCGCAAACTTGTTTCCCAATTCAAATTAGAATATTTATTGAACTCAAAGCTCTCGATGATTTTTGTTTCAGTCACGAAATACGAAAAACGAAAACATTCTCTCAGATGTTGGTGGTCGAAACCGCATGTTTTCGCTTGCAATAGTCACACGACACGCGTGCGACTCACCTCACTGATGTCCATTGTATCCATGTTATGCGAATTGTGCTTCAGCTCGTTAGGTGACCTAATATGACCGTTAGGGACATTCAAGCAACCCACAGAGCTGGTAATATTTGCCAGAATATTGCCGAACATAACTGAACCAAAATTGGATGAATTCTGTTTGAAATTTTAGTCTACCGTGAATAAGACTACGACCATTCGAGCAGAGTACCATCAAAGGTCATGAGTTTCGCCTTCTGAAAGTTTGAAGGGCAGAAAAAATAGCTCCCAGAAGAATAAGATGGGTTTTCAATTCACGATCATCTCTAGACAAATTAACTAACCACTAGGTAACATTCATAGGTAAGGAAGTACTGTCTCTACTCGGCGATTGTGACATGTCCAAGGTCATTGATTCAAGTATGATTAAATCTGCCTTCGGTAACTAATGCAAAGACGCACATCCTGGGATGAGTAAGCCACACAAACGAACTACTCAAACTGAGAGATAGCTACAGAGATGGACAACTGCAACAATCTCTAATCATGGCAATTTTTAACATGGGCTTGATCAGGACGGATTATGTAAAGAAGCCAATATCCTTGGAAAAACAGTCAAGCATGAGATATTCGCCACACATGTGACCCATTCTATCGCTTGGACTCTTCTGAATACAGAAGCAAGATAAATGGGATTCAAGCCACATCTGAGACTCCCCATTAATCGACCTTCACAGTTTATACCAATCAGCAAACGGCCAGGTGAATAACCTCCACAATACAGTCGGTCAGAACGATAACTTTAGGAAGCGCCAGGCTTGATAGGTAAAAAGGTAAATTTGACCCAATCAACACCCACGCCCACCACCAACATCAGGAAAATCTAGCAAATAAAACACTGGCATTCTAATCTGCGGAATCATTGTATTATCGTGAGAAAATAATGGCTTGCTCGCTTGCAAAATAATTAGCATAGTGTTTATAAGTT